GGAACATATCGCTATGAATTTTGTGATAGGTCTTCCAAGGTCACGGAGGGGTAATGAGGCCGTATGAGTCATCATTGACAGATTGACCAAGACAGCTCACTTTTTACCTATTAAGGCAACAAATGATGCAGAGAAGCTTGGTATTCTTTATGTGAAGGAGATTGTAAGGTTGTATGGAGTTCCAGTAACCATTGTTTCAGATAGGGATGCCAAGTTCACTTCGAAGTTCTGGGAAGGATTTCAAGCAGCGTTTGGCTCAGTGTTGCATCTGAGTACGGCATTTCATCCACAGACTAACGGTCAGTCATAGCGTACTATCTAGATTTTGGAGGATATGTTTCGGGCATGTGTGCTTGATTTGAGTGGTAGTTGGGAGGATCACCTTCCACTTATTGAGTTTGCATATAACAATAGTTATCAGGCGAGCATTCAGATGGCTCCATTTGAGGCGTTGTATGGTAGACCTTGTAGGTCTCCTGTTTGTTGGACTGAGGTAGGCGAGACAGCTACCTTAGGACCCGACATTGTACTCGAGACTACTGAGAAGATTAAATTGATAAGACAGAGGTTACTTACAGCTCAGAGCCGACAGAAGAGTTATGCAGATAAGCGGAGACGGCCGTTATCCTTTGAGGTGGGAGACCATGTTTTTCTACGGGTTTCTCTACGGAAGGGATTGATGAGATTCGGGAACAGTGGCAAGTTGTCGCCACAATTCATTAGACCATTTGAGATTTTGGACCGTGTAGGAGAGGTTGCCTACAGACTTGCTTTGTCACCATAGTTGGACAGGGTCAACAATGTTTTCCATGTATCGATGTTATGGAAGTACGAGCCAGATCCATCTCACATTTTGAGTTGGGTTAATGTAGACATTGATGACGATGTTTCCTACGAGGAAGGACCACTTCAGATTCTTGACACACAACAGAAGGTGTTGAGGAACAAGACGATACCAATGGTGAAAGTCCTTTGGAGACACCATGGAGTCGAAGAGGCTACTTAGGAGCTCGAACAGGAAGTTCGCTCTAAGTATCCAGAGTTGTTTTCTTCTCCAGGTATGTTTTGATTTCGGGGACGAAATCTTTTTTAAAGTTGGGGAGAATGTAATGTCTATGTCTAATATTTATATATGTGTGCATATGTGTATATATTTGTATGTGCATGGGTAATTTAAAACAAAAAAAAAAAAGGGAAAAAGAAAAGTCAAAGGGTGGTGGTGGGACCCACCACCCACTCACTTTTAATGGTCTAGAGACCATTTCTTTTCCTTCATTTTCTCTCCCCGTCACTTTCTCTCTTCCTTCCTTCTTCTTCATTTTCTTTTTCATTTTAGTTTCAAGCTTTGAGACTTGATTTCTTCCTTATTTCTTACCGGATTTGAGTGCCGTTTGAGGCAAAACAAAGCCCACGATGAGCTCTACGCGCTAGTGTAAGCAATTTCAGATTGGTGCTTCCTAGGGAGTTCAAAATTAGAGACCCACTTTCAAGGGTTTTGTTCAATTTAGAGGTAGGGGCTCTTAATCCATGTTTTTCTTGCTCCATTGTGAATTATATCTCTCTTGTTGTGACAAGCATGTTTAATTTGGAAGTTAATTGTTTCAATGATTATATAAATGATATTTAGGAAAATTCATGATTATGAATATGAGTTGAAAAGCATGCTTACATGTTGTCTTGTTGTGTTTAATGTGTTGATAATTCATTTGGAGATACTGAACATGATGTATGCTTAATTTTGTGGTGTAAAATTCTGTGATGTCTTGTTGTGTTTAATGTGTTGATAATTCATTTGGAGATGTTAATTATGATGTATGCTTATTGTGTGGTGTAAAATTCTAAATGCCATAATATTGAAAGCATGGGACATATATACATGTACATACCATTGGGTTTGAATGAAATGGGAGAATTTTGCTTGAAACAAAAAAGGAAATTTTGGGAAAAGAGTTTTTACGAAATGGTTTTATGAAAACCCAGTCATCGTGGGGGTACCAAAGGGCCGTAGTGTCAATATAACCTAGAGGGGACTAGGGAGTCGCCCTAGAGTGGTTGAGTTATCTGAGCCCCTCGATGACTCTGCGGGGTTACCAAAGGTCTAGGGACAGTAGCCAATCCTTCTCTCGTGCCCTTGCGGGGTCACCAAAGGGCGGGTTGTATTAACAGTTTAAAAGTGATGGTTTGAAATGTGAAAATGGGGAGCAACATCGGCATGCATTTGTATTCCATGGCATTGTATTGTTTGCACTTGAGTTTGGTTGAAATGTTGTATTATCCCGACATTGTATGATCATTATTCATATTGATCTATTCTTTGTATGGATTCACAAGGACATAAGATACGTGTCTTAAGTGCTACTTACTGAGCTTTATGTTCACCCTATTACTTAATAATTTTTTTCAGGAAACGGGAAAGAAGTGGCGGATGACTTTCCACCACAGGCCTAATTTGGATTAGAAGACTTTTTTGCTATTTTTGTATTAAGTCCCATATTTTTTTGTAAATGCTTAGTCTGTTATATTCGGTATAGATGTTTGTGGACTCTTATTGTTATAATTATACCTATGGGCTGTAACTTTTGTATGAACTGTCTAAATGTTGTAAAATATGGACATTTGATATTAATCTTGTATTTTGGGACTGTAACTATGTTATCTGAATAATATAGTATGTGGCTGTACTACTATGGAATGAACTAAGTTAAGGCATGATGAATGGATGAAAAGGATGTTGGAATGTATTATATGTTTATTGTGCTGAGACAGGTTTAAAATGCATTTAAACAGGTTGTGGTAAGCCCATTTTTTAGGAGAGGTCATGCTGAATTTTTTTTTTTAAATGGTATCAGTTTAGGGTCGTTACAACACGGATACGTCGACACGTAAAAATTTTAAAAAGTAAGACACGGGTACGACGTAGACATGGTTACATATAAATATAAATTTTTATTTTTATACATCTATTTAGTAATAGTATTATAAAACTTTAATTCATTTATAATTTCTATACTAAGAGTTGTTCTAAAATGAATTAAAAAATGAAATTATGTCATTATTGTAATGCTTTTTATATGATATATACTAGTATTTCATTATTTTGTCATGATAGTATTCATATTATTTTCAAAATTAGTGTGTAGACTTATTTTAGAAATGTCCGAGAAGTATTGACGAAATGTTCGGAAAGTGTAAGCGAAGTATCTGGGAAGTGTCAGCAAAATGTCTGAAATAATAAAATTAATTTTTATTTATGGACACATATATGAAGTGTCCAACACGCATTCGAGAAGTGGCGGTGTTCGATATAGGTACGACACGAGTACGGTTCCTTCATAAAAGTGTTCGTACTTCTTAGGTTGGAAGTAAAAAACATGGTTTGCCGGTTTAAATTCTTCCATATATCATTTGAATAACGCAGGATCTGACTCATCTAATAAAGACATTATCTAGTTGGCAGAGTGTTCCGGGTGTGCGAATTTCCCTCCTCTTAGTTTGCCAATATATATATATATCTATAAATATAATAACGTAAACTCATCAAACAAGGTAAAACAATCTTGACTATATATATAGCATTGTTCTAGATTCTAATTGATTTACCCTAAACAGGAAACTCATAAAGTATCAATAAAGTGGGTAATGGTTGCTTCAATAATTTCAGTTTCCTTCATGTTTGTGTACTGTTTTTGGTAACACCAACATGGAAATGCAGATTATGTAAAAAAAATATAAAAATATATTAAAAAAAAACTATGGAAATGCATGTTATCATGACTTTTGCACTTTCAAGTCACCAACTTTTCTGGCTGACATCAAGATCATGCTAAATGTAACTGACATATCTCAATTGGATCACTTGTCAAAGTCCAAATAAAATGGGCAATTGAATACACCAACAAACAACATGACATACGCGTGTGTATAACAAAGCTACGTTATCATTTCTCCGAATGAGATCAGATAACTCGGATATGAATTAAAAAACTCAATTCGATAACCCGTAACGACAAAATTTAATGTGATGACCCGATAACGAATTAGAGTTCAGTAATCTAGTAGCTAAACTCTTCTGATATAGACTGGACCTACATACACGTGGGGTATTGCCTCCCTTGAACTTTTTAAAAAATATTAATATACCTTACTAAATTGCTTCTTTTTCAGTTATATACCCCTAAAATATTACTATTACCCCCCCTAAAATTATTAAAAAATATCATTATTGCCCCCCTCACTTAATGGTTTGGGTCAATCCGATGATAATTCGATCTAATATAATATAATATAATATTTCATATGCTATAGAAATACTATGTAATTCAATAATATATAATATTTACAAATTATTAAAATAATTTTTATCATTATTTTTCTTCTTCTTCTCTTTCTCTTTATTGTTTTTTTAAATAATAAAAAGTCCAATACTTTATTTTCTACCCTTTTTGTTGTTTATATTTTATTTTTATTCTCGGACTTCTCTCTCTCTCTCTCTCTCTCTCTCTCTCTCTTCCTAATCATTTTTTGCTAATCTCTTTTGACATTAAATTTTTTTTTGACAAAAAATTACATCATTAATGGATCCAGTTATCGGATTGAATATTTGATTAACAACAAAATGGATATGAATTCAATTATAAATAATCAATTGAGCTGTTGGATTTGATGACGGTGCTCTCACGGTGCAATTATACCCTCACCTCCTCAGCACACCTCATCCATTCAAATAACATGGATGAGGGCACATGCTCAACTAGAGGTCGATTTTTCTAACCAAATTTACCTGCATCTTGCATGTCTATATATTCAAACACATTTCAAAACCTTACATAATACAAGTTAGCTGACCCAAAGTTGTAGGTGTTTTCTCACCCACTTCTCAGATACAGAGTCCTCCTCCCTATTTCTTCAGACAACAGTACCGAGACATGGATCGAGAGGACTCCAAAACTCTTCCCGAATCTCCTGTAATTCCTAGAAAGGATCATGGCCTTGGTGATGAAGAATCAACCAAGAACTCTGATGATATACCAGAGCCTATTGCAGAGCTCAAAATGCAACTGGAGTTGGCAGGTCCTCTGGTTGTGGTCAGTTTTTTGCAGTACAGTTTACAGATGATATCGGTTATGTTCATTGGCCATCTCGGAGAACTCTCTCTTTCGAGTGCTTCTATGGCTACTTCATTTGCAGGAGTCACAGGTTTCAGCTTCATGGTAAGGCTGCTTCTTGTATGGTTTTCTCTCATTTGTTATACATACATGCATATATACAAACATACATATATATATATATATATATATATGCATATTTTTTCTTAATAAACATACATTCTAAATCATTCCCATTATGTATTCAAACTTTTAAATGTGAATCAATGCTTGGCTTCATAAACCTTTGATTGATTGATTTATTTATTGTTTAGTACTATGTAAATGAAAAAAGATGTCCTTGAAATGTATGTCAAAAACTCCAACTAGACATAAAAATATATTCTTCAAAGAATCCGTATCCCCTTCGTTAATTAATTAGTTCAACTCTTTCATAATCTGGCGGAAACATTAAAGGAATCTCGTGCATGAGTCCATTGTCATGCTTCTTCAATATACTCATTTATTAATTATGGCCTATCCAGATATCAAATTTGTCCCACACGCGTTATAAATAATACCATATTTAGCAAACTTAGGACATATACATAAAAACAACAGCATACAAATAAAAATAAAATAATAAAAAGTAAAAAATCATGGACAAAGTCCCGAGTTCAAACTTTTAAATATAATTGATATATATACATGTAGAAATTTGGCTAGAGCAGATGATGGTTAGATAGTATAAATACTTAGTTAACACCCTCTCTAACACTATTAACCTTTTGTAGTAGGTGGATAGATTAAATATCGGTTCATGAACTTAGCTGAATAATTAGATCAATAGAAAATTATAAAAGACACTTATCTGAGTTTTTAGAAAAATAGTTTTCAGAAATTGTCAACCAAACAGATTTTTGTATAGTTTTTATTTTCAGTTCTCAGAAAATTAAAATCTGTTCTTACAAAACTGAACCAAGCAGGCCCTAACATCTCAAAATTTCATTTGAACTAGCTGGGAATGGGAAGCGGATTAGAAACGTTCTGTGGACAAGCCTACGGAGCAAAGCAGTATCATATGCTCGGCATTCACATGCAGAGAGCTATGCTTGTGGTCGTGCTACTGGGGATTCCTATATCAGTCCTCTGGGCCTTCTCAGGATACATTTTAACCAGCTGTGGACAAGACTTGGCGATTTCAACACATGCGGGAATATATGCTCGTTGGTTGATCCCTAGCATTTTCCCATATGGCATCCTCCAGTGCCAACTCAGGTTCTTGCAGACTCAAAATAGCGTAAAGCCATTGATGATAAGCACAGGTTTTACGAGCTTAGTTCATGTCTTGGTTTGTTGGATTTTGGTTTCTAGACTTGGCTTTGGCAACAAAGGTGCTGCCCTGTCCAATGCCATCTCTTATTGGATCAATGTATTGATTTTGGCCATTTATATCAAGTTTTCGCCTTCATGTCAGAAGACTTGGACAGGATTTTCTAAGGAGGGTATGAAGAATCTTCTCAGCTTTCTATCATTAGCTATTCCTTCAACTCTTATGCTCTGGTGAGTTTTGAATCTTCCTACATATCCAACATTACAATTTCTAATGTTTTTACCAAAATGAGCAATTAATTATTAAGTACATCTTTTCCAAACTACCCACCCTGCAAAGTCTAATGTGATCCTGTGATATTATTCAGCTTGGAAATGTGGTCATATGAAATTTTGGTTCTTATGTCTGGTTTTCTTCCCAATCCAAAGCTAGAGACCTCAATGATGTCAGTCAGGTTCGCGTCTTTATCTATATACTCAAATTTTTTGATAAAATATTCTTGGACTTTTCTTTGCTATGAAACATTTTTCTCTCAATTTTTTTGGGCAGCAGTTGTTTTCACTGTTATGGTCATGCTTATGAGGTGCATCTGTAGTGTAGTCTCAATTCTAATTCACACACACATACACACACGCATATGGTTCCAAGTGCATCACTGTAACTCCTTCATTGACTTCAATTTTCTTTCTACAGTCTCAACACAATTTCATTGGTCTTCAGAATCCCATTTGGTTTTGGCAGTGCAGTAAGGTATGTTCTGCTAAAAACCGCGACAATGACCCCTCACTAGCCACAGAACTGTGTGAATATATTTTGACAATTTCACTTCTTGTATCTCGGGTTCAAAGCACGAGAGTGTCAAATGAATTAGGTGCAGGGCAGCCACGTGCTGCACGACTTGCGGCCCGGGTTGTGATATTCCTGGCAGTTGCAGAGGGCTTCTTAGTGAGCTTGGTTTCAGTTTCAGTGCGAGGCGTTTGGGGCTATCTGTACACCAATGAGAAGGAAGTTGTAAAATATTTGGCTTGTATAATGCCAGTGCTTGCCATTTCCAACTTCATGGATGGAATTCAGGCTGTACTCTCAGGTATAAGCTTCAATTATCCCTCTAGAAAACATAGCACATTTGTTCTAATCGGTATAATTATATTAATTAATGAAAATATTTATTTTCAGAGAACTATAACAATTTTTTATTTTCTGAGTTTTTGAAAACAGAACGAAACAGTCCCTTAATTTCTTGAAAATGGTTGCTTTGAATTTCTTTTCCCCTTTAATTCATGTACCTCCTACAATTGATCCTAACATCAAGGGAACTTTTTGAATTGCAAAAGGCATCGCAAGAGGATGTGGTTGGCAGAAGATTGGTGCATTTGTGAATCTAGGAGCATATTACTTTGTGGGCCTTCCTTGTGCAATTATCTTAACTTTTGTTTTCCACTTGGGAGGAAAGGTAAGAATTTAGACCCATCTTTCATGCATCTCCTTTCTAGCATTATTTTTTTTACCCGACAAAGAACTTCCACAATATTTTTGAGAGACTCGAACCTTCTACCTTTTACCGTGAAAGGAAAGAATATCACTAAATTACAAACTTTGTACCTTTCTCGCATTATGGATGCGCACTTTTTGCAGGGTCTTTGGATGGGAATCATTAGTGGGAGTGGTCTGCAAGCATTACTACTTTTAGTTATCACCTTGCGCACAGATTGGGAGCATCAAGTAAAAATTTGATCTTTCCCTTCAAATTGGTCAATGAAATCTACAGTTGCATCAACATAGTTTCCTTAAAATGTTCTTTGCTTTACTTTTTCAGGCAAGGATGGCTAGGGAGAGAGTTTATTCTTCCAGCATACCCACATATACGTCAGGGTCATGAAAACCATTTAAGGGGAGAAATTATTAGATGGTCCCGGCCAATCACATACAGCCATGAATGCAATTCTGTTAAATTTTTACAATTCTTTTTTTGCTTGTGTATGTGATTGCGAGAATTATGCCAGGACTATGTAATAATTTTTTAGTACAAAATATCAAAATGCGTAATTCATGCAATAAAACTAGTGATTATATTAAATTCTCCTAAATTTGTTCTAGGGTTTCTCTCCCATTTCCTGTATGTTTTCTTAATTTATTTTAGAATTTTCCCTCTTTAAAATTTGCTTTTCCTTCTTGCTGCCAACTCATATATCAATATCATTGTAATGTAGTAGCATGAAAATCATTTACAATATGCCATATCAATAAAGTAGAAAGCATTAGCACCAGTGGGCCCTCCTTTGAAAAAATTGTACTTGAAGTACTTTGCAACCAATGTTGTCTGGGGTAAAACCAAACAATTATGTCTTTATCCAATTCACTGCAGGCTGCTAACAAATGAATGGGCTGGGACTCTTTTTTAATATTATTTCCTAAATGTTTGATTTCTTGTTGTGTGTGTTCTTATTTTATCCGACTGTGTGTTATATCAGGGAACACATATCTTGTTGTCTGCGTGCCGAAAGTTATTTAGTGTCAGTCTGTCTAATAATTTATTACTTCCAATGTTTCGTCGTATGGATCGGGTCGATACGCGATTTGTATCGGTCAGTTTACACTGATTTTATCCGAATCCGTTACATCGCAATCACAATCTATACCGCGACCGTGATTGATGTTGCGAACCATCCCAACACGAATCAAGCTTAGATTATGTCTGCGAGTGTAATTTTTAAAAAATTATTTGTACTTAAAAAAGGAATTTATTCTAAAACTTTATAGTGCAAAAGGTATTGGAGCCTAAATCTTTTTTAACTAGACCAACCTTATTACCTTTTGAGGTTAATTTGAATTCTTTTTCATCTTTGCTATGTTTCCGAACCATGGGCTTTGTATGAATCTTGATCCAATTTTATTTTATGGGTCAAAACCCAAGTTCTATATATATATATATATATATATATATATTACTAAGTAATAGGGCTCACATTGTTCATTGAGACGAAAGAGTGTATTAGGGCTAAGATTTGAGAGGTTTATACATCTCTCTTTTTTCTCTCAATGTGTTGTGCAATTTAAGATTTACGATTATGTTATTGGACATTATGCAGTGATGTAGTTGGTAGAGTGTCCAACTCTTCAAGTGGGTGTGCCCATATTCCAAAAAATTAAATCATTCAACAAGAACTAAATACACCCACAAGATCACCGTATTACCAGCTTACCCACTGAAAAATAATATTTTTGTCAATATTATTATATTATGAACCAATGTATGATAATTAATACAACAACAAAGAATACACAAGAGAATATATCATGTTCTTTTGCTTATTGTTTTTCCGTCTTTTCAATCTTCTACTTATACTTTCCACTTCATTTATCAAAGCCCGTAGACCGGCCCATTTTAAGCCCACAGCCCGGCGCTATCCCAAAGCCCAAGGGCCGGGCTGGGGTTTCTAAAATCGCCTTTCCTAAATTGCTGATTATAATGTTTTTTCTTGAGAACTTTAACGACTAATCCTTGTTATGCAATAAGGAATAGGTTACCTTAAAATTTTGACCTATTTTAAACAGTGGATAATGAGGGTTTCAATAATATCAATTTCCTTCATGTCTGTAACAGCAACATGGAATTAAAGGCAGATTATTATCATGACTTATTATTGCACTTGCAAGTCCCCCATCCTCTCTGGTTGGCATCAAGATCATGATAAATGTACTCACATGTCTCAATTGGATCACCTTTCAAGATACAATCAAGTGAACAATTGAATATACCAACAACTTTTTAGAATATATATAAGGGTAAAGGGCAAAAAAAAAACCCTGAATTATAGGCCAAAATGCAATAAATTTCCCTGAACTACAAAAAATACAATTAACCCTCTGAATTACGGTACTTGGTTGCAATTTACCTACTCCGGTGACCGACAGAAATATTTTGACCGTTTTTAGGCGCGTGTATGCTACTTTTTTTCTAAATGGCCATTTTACCCTTGTCATACAAAAATACCAAAAAGCCCTTTTATTCCCCAAAACCATTACCCTAATTTGTATTTATATATATATATATATCATTCTAAATCAATAGTTGGTGGATTCATCTTGGTCTTTATCTGCAATATCTCTCTTCTCTATCTCTATCATCTACTATCCACATATATACACAAATATATATAGATTATTGCAAAGAATGAGGTCAACTGGTGAATCCTCTTGCAATTCTGGCATTCAAAGAGGTGTGTTCAAGAATAAGAGATGTTTTTGTGGTGTCAAGGCTATTGTATACATATCTGACTCCAACAACAATCCGGGTAAGCTATATTTCAAATGCAATAAGGATTTAAGTCCTTATACGTTCTGGGAATGGTGGGTTGAACCTGGTATCGAAGATAAAGTACCAACACCAGCACCTCGCCTAGTTATTCTACCTCCTTCACCAAGTTTTGTAAATAATGGGCTGCCATTGAATGTAGAGTGCAATCAAATTGTAAAAACCATGTATATTAGGAGCATAGTTTTGTTTGCGATGTCTTTTGTAGTTTTAATTGTTTCAGCTTTTCTGAAATGAATATTTTGTTGGGTTTTCTAATCTATTGTTTTGGGAGTTTGTAGGTATGACATATGTCAGATCTCTTGTAATATGTTGGTTGTGTTGACATTGTAATATATTTTGAAGTTCTAATATGTAGGTTGTGTTACATTGTAAATCAAATGAATTCCATTTACACCAAAATCAGATGCATTAACACCACCAGCTGAGATGCAATGCATTGACACAAAAACCAGTTTGTGACACCAACTAACCTGCAATGCATTGACTCCAAGCATTTAAGCACTTATGGTACCTATATTCAATACCATTTATTGACACTAATAACACTTACAAATTGAGTTGTAAGTTTCAACCATCATGAACGCACAACTTATAGCACCTGAGCTACAGTTACAACATGTATTCACATCAGTCAATACCTGCACTTACCACATATATCACATCAATTAACACAATTTTTAACAAGTATTACTGAATTGGACTAAGCATTTATAGTACTTGTATTCACTTAACTTAATGTCTGCACTTACTACCTGTATTCACACTACTCCATGCAATAATAACATATCACTATTATAAGCAAGCATACTGAACTGGATTTACATAACCAAATTATTCTTACAATAGCCATAACCAAAGTACTTAACATTTTTACATAACATAAAAATACTTAAACATTCTTACATAACATTAACTTAATGCATACTACATGTCAACAGACACAAAGAGGCAAAAAATACTTCCAGTTCTTTATATCAATAGTAGCTATCATCAGTCAGTACCAACCACACCCAAAAATCTGCAGTTGAAGTTATCTACTATAATCACTGTCCATCATGGACCTGTAAAAGAAGTTGGAAAAATAAATAATTTATTAACATGTCTATGAATCAACCTATTAAGAAGTTGACAAAAAAATGAAACACACCTAAAACTGGATGCCTGTGTTGATGACAACTGTGAAAATTGTATGTTATAAACCTATCAAGAATATACACAAGTTAGTTCACCTTGCAATAAAAAATAAAATAAAATAAAAAACCTTGTTAAAAGTGTACCTCTTGACTCTGAATTGCAGTAGGAATTTCATTTCCAATAGCAGCTCTTCCACTTCTTACACCTCTCCTGCCCCTTCCTCTCAATAGTATTCCTCTTCCTCTTCCTCTTCCTCCTCCAAGTATTAGTGGTTTGTCTCCCCTTTTTGAAGGAGGTTTCTCAATGACCAAAGGTGCTGGGAGTTTACAAGTCCTTGAGTTATGGCTTTTCTCCCTGCATTTTAAACATTTCAACAAATCCTTTGACCTACTAACCTTGGTTGGTTTCCTTGAAATACTAGGCTCATCATTTTTCTTATTCCTTGTCTTCTTTGGTCTACCAATAGGTTTCTTAAAGATTGGTGGAAGCAATTGCTCACTAGGTTGTGATTTCAGCAACTTTCTCATAGGAAATGGATTGATCAAACCAGTATATGGCTTTAAGTAGGTTTCCTTATGATAGTATAGATCAACATATGATTTAGGCACATCCGTCCTTGTAAAAATGCATGCTACAACATGTTTACAAGGGATACCAGTCATATTCCATACCCTGCAGGTGCAAGTCTTCTTTCCAAGATCAACTGCCGCACTGATACCAAAGCATTCAACCTTATACTTGTTATCACCAGCATAGTGCACCTTGCACATCCTTATTGTCTTCTTCACTTTGTTCAATTTGTTTTGAATTTCTGGATACAATAAGCCATCCTTTGATTCCATCCACTCCTTTTTCTGTTGGAATCTCAACATGAGATGCCTCCTAATCCACTCTAACATATAAACTATTGGTTTATCCCTGACTTTAAGAATGACAGCATTCCAGCTTTCACACATATTATTGATCACCATATCACTTTTTGATTGGCATGTGAAACCTGACCCTAACCACATTTCAGATAGCACATTCTGAAGCCAACCATAAGCTTGAACATTCAATTCCTTTATCTTTCTCATACCTTCCTCATATGTGCATCAAAATCAACTTCTATATATGACCTTGCAGCCTTCAACAACTTATTTTTCACTGCTTGTGATACCCTCTAATTTCGGAACACGGGTTGATCAGGTCCACTCACAAAATCAGGGAATTTCAAAACAATTAAAGTATTTCAAATAAGCACAGAGTACAAAATGAAATAAAAGAATAAATAATACGCTGAAAAAAAACTAATAAATAAAATTTCCATTAATAACTCGCCAATGGATACAACTCGGGAATCACTTAACTCAATGACCCCTTAGCCAAAATCCACTATCCATAAATCCATTAATAATTACTAAAGTAATAATATCCTACTTTGAAAA